AGCACTTGAATGGGGCAACGAGGACACTGCAATGACATTGATAAACATGGGTGCCGATGTCAATGTTTGTAACAATCATGGAGAGATTAAAAGTCTACATATTGCTTTGGATTATAAAATGTATAAAGTTGCAAAAAAACTGTTCGAATTAAACCCCACAGATATGGATATTGAAGACAACAATGGTGGAACGGCCATATTTCATTTGCTAGGGGTATATCTTGACAACATTTTGGAAAAGGAAGACGATATATGGTATGACATTGATGATAGAGAAGAACTTACTCGCAAAGTGGCTTCTTCGTGCAGTAATATTGATAAGAAGGATAACCAAGGTCGAACTGCGCTATCTCATGCCATTGAGAGAATGAATAAAGATGAAGAACTGGAAAGTTTGGCACGAATAATCATTGACGCTGGTGCTAATGTTAATTTATCAGATGATAAAGGACAAACACCCTTGTTTTATGCATTGAGRYCKTCSGCCGTACGCTTGTTATTAGACCATGGTGGAGATTTAACTCTTCGAAACAATCAGCAGGAAACCGCCTTGATTCATATTTTGTCTGCAAAAGATTATTTTCAAGATATAGACCTATATTTTGACTACGACGAATGGTCACATTTATGCGAGCAATACGTTAGTGCACTGCTCAATTACGTAGACACTACTTACGTAAACGCAAGAGACATGTATGGCAGAACAGCAATGTTCTCTGCAGCTACAAAAATTGATGATAGTACAATGTTTGAAGTTATAGCGGCGATGCTTGTTCGCAAGGGGGCTGTTGTAGACGATACCGATAATAACGACATGAGCGTTTTATCGTATTTCATTGAGAGACATTGTTGCAACAGTTTTAAGGATAACAGAAATGTTTCAGAAAGACTATCATTTTTTATCAAGAATGGCATACGTAATTCAGCAATCTTCACCTCAGCATTGAGCTATTTGTATGCTATATTACCAAACTACTTTCACAGTTCTAATACAGTGCATAGAAGAGAGATGTTTCCGAATGCTATATCTATTGCATACACATACGCTAGTCATGAAGTGCAATCTATTGACACCTTAAATGCACTGCTCGACGACGAAAGAATACCAGACGCAATGGACTTAATGGTGATGTTAGGTGTCAATCCCAACAGTGCCGATTCGTATGGAAATACTGCCCTTCATTATGCTACTCTGCTTCCATTTCATGGGGTATCACAAGAGAACGTAAAGAAAATCCTCGAGACGCTTAGAAACCATGGGATACGAACCAACATCAGAAATCAGAAAAAAGAGACGCCTCTACATTTTTGTCTTTCAGAACAAGCATGGAAACTAGCAAGCGAAAATGACACATGGAATGGAATCACGACAGTGGTGGAGATTTGTGAGTTTCTTCTACATGATGGTTCGCTCATTAGTGAAACAACGAGAAATGGAGAGACTGTGTATCATTTAATAATGAACTTGTTTCAGAGGGGACTATCTATGAATGATAAAGAAATTCGGAATGTCATTTGTGACAATGCCGTACAACTGCTTGAATTGTTTTCCAAAACAAGTGGTGAACAGTTAAAGGTATTACAGGATCACAGCCTGAACTCTCCTCTTCATTTATGGGCTTCACTTTCTCTCCCCCCAAATCAAAATTATGCAGAACCTTTAACGAAAGGCTTTACTTTTCAAGATCTTCTTGACACCCTATTCAAGCACTTATGGAAGCCCGGAATGTCGCCAAACCCAAGGAATGATCAAGATCAAACACCTCTTCATCTTTGCAAGACATGGACCGCCGCCAAACTTTTAATAGAAGCAGGAGCAAAAGCAAATGATGTTGATAGAGAAGGACAACCTCCTCTCTTAATTGTTGCAAAACATAAACAGTTCAAGATTAAACAGGGTTATTTCTTTCCGGACGTTGTTGAAGACCCAAAACAGTTCTTCGAAAAGTGTGTGTCATTAGGTCTTGATATATGGAGTTCTGACAATGAAGGGCAATCTATGCTTAGCACCTTCCTGGATTCCGAGGCTTATGCACTGGCMAAWGSTTTGATCGATGTTGCTGTTGCAAATTGTAAATCAACCACAATCGTAAAACAGTTGCTGGATGCTATTTGCAAAGATCAGTCCACAAGTACRACTTGGAAAAGTCTTCTTACTTTAACGCTTATAACCTCACCACAACTTGCCTCTAGCAYCAATCTCGATGGTTCACTCCGCCACATTTGCACAAACATCGAAAAGCAGGTACTGGGACAGAAGCAAGAACAGCGTGTTGGAATTGAAGAAGGCAATGAATCTGAAGAGCCCCCAAATAAGAGACCGAGAATTGTTGATAGTGAAAATCGCAGCACTCCGAAATCGAATGTCTTTTTTGATATTGGAAGACAACTACTGTTTTATGGAGCCGATGGCAACAGTTTGTGTAACGATTTCCCAAACCTCCACTCCTTTTTGACGGCCGTAATAACTCCAGACCAAATGAAAGAGATAATTCCATGGACTTCTCATTCCACAATACATGAAGAGAAGCTTAGAGCAGTCTCGAGAAAGCAAAACGTTGCGGAGATAGGTACCTACTGTTATCATAAAGAACCAATAGGTGAAGGAGGCTTCGGCGACGTTTATGCTGGAATATGTAAGAACGATGGAAGGGAGGTTGCAATCAAGAAAATAAAAAGAAGTCAAGTTAAGGGACAAGATAAAAGAGAGATAAGTAATCTTGTAGAATTGGCAGACTGTCCACAAGTCGTGAAGTACATCTCTTTCGATGTCAGTGATAAAGACTTTGTGTTCATTGTGTTAGAACTGATGGAGGGGCATCTAGACGACTATTTTTCAAGTCCATCGTTTGATGCAAGTCGAAGACCAAGATTATGCCGTGATGTTGTAGAAGGTCTGGCATATTTACACCAGCACAAGCCAAAATCTATTCTTCACCGTGATCTCAAACCAGAAAACATCCTTTACAAGTTTGATGAAGATGGCAAAGTTATCGTTAAGATAGCAGATTTTGGTCTCAGTAGTCCTCTCACGGCTGGTAGGACAACTGTTCTTCA